AACAGGAGTGATGTGATCCACTTTCTTAGTGTACTATAAAAAAAAGCAATTAAATATTTAAATATTTGAGCAGCAAATCCTCACATTTAATAAATGGAACTGTGAAAAACATTTGTAATTACTTGTAACAGAGTATTACTATGGTATTTATACTTTTACTTTAGTACAAGATCTGAGTACATCTTCTTGCTCTGCTATAAACCATTCAATTAATAAAGGAAAGAAGGCCACAAGCTACTGTATACAATAAATCCCCCAAACATTTTATTTGTGTTGCAAACTCCCAACTATAAATCCCTCTATTAATACAAAACATTTCTCAAAAATTCCTTTTTGTAATCATATCAATGGACTCTAAATAGAGCTGTAATAGTCTTGGCGGTAACTAGTGATGACTTGTTTGAATGGCATTTCATTGCCACAGAAGTCAAACAGCACAGCAGGAAAACCGGTTTGGAGATTCTCATGGATTTTCACAAGGATCTCTGCACAACAGTAACAATATAATCAATAACACCAGGATGAATACTTCGTTTTGATAGTTTGGACGAGTTTGAACGTTCAAACCACGTGAAGATGTGATGGAAGCATATGACTGGACATTATAGGTAGTTTCACAAAGGGAAAGTTTCCTTCTTCCTCCTCAGTTTTGTCATGTCTTTAGATAAATTAAACTCAAGCTCATTCTGTTCAACAAGAAGACATTATTTTCCAAAATCAGCTCTCCAATAATGTTTATGATAAAATAAACTCAAGATAGTCTTCATCATCATCAAGATGGATGAAGACCATGTGCTTATAAGCTCAGAAAAAGTTACTAAGTGGCTTTTTTTTGTCACATTGTCTAGGGTAAATCATTTACTTCCATGCTTATTTCAGGTATGATGATTTGCAGATGATGCCAGTGACAAAATACATTCATCTGACTGCATGTATTTTGCTGAAAAATTGTTTTCATGTTGTTATAGTTTAGGACTGGAAAGGCACTAAAATAAATGACATGTTGAGATGGATTGATAAGTGTCCTTGAACATAATCAACAAGTGGCTTTAGGTTGTGGGCAGTGAATAAAGCTGTAAATACAACATTGTCATCAAAGCCAGCTCTCAATGTATTTAGAGTTGAGTTTCTTTTCAGATGTTAAAGTGCAATATTAAATCACCTTTTCACTGTTCTTCATGTTACGCCAACTCCTGAGGGAATATGTTGAGCAATTAAAGGCTCTATGTGTATGAGCTTGATGATCACTTTTTTTGAGTTTATCAGAGCTTTTTGTTGCATCCGGAAAAGATGGAAAGGGTGGGAAGACTGAATGATAATAGTTAATCTAGTGGGTAGAAGGGGGTATCATGCATCCCCTTGAAATATACTTCTAATCAGCTTTTCTAGATTGTAAAAATCTTCACTCTTTTTACACCTTTCACTATATCTCAGCCATTATTGCAGATAACTGAACAAATAAGGTATCCAGATCCATGTGTTGAGGGTCAAGGAACAAAATAAAACTATTCTTAAAGTGATCACATGTGTCTGTGGCATGCTATTATGCTAATTATTGTGTTAGTCATACATATCTGCGAGGACTTTAGTTTCGGTGTAAGGGGAGTTTTTACGCTTCACAAAGCACCCTATGTAAATCTCTAATGCTAGACCTTTCCCTCTGTTCATGAAAAGCAGAAGGACCTTTAAACATATTCTTTCACTTCTTCATATGTAGTCCTTTAAAAGAGAAAAACAAAGGGTTCCTTTTTGGGTTGACCTTAATGTTGTTTTAAATAGCGGCCTCATATGAATGCCTTAGACCCAGTGATATTTCATACGTGATATTCATGATACATGGTATTTATACCTCAGTAAAACGTGTGGTCAGCCAGTGCTTCAACTAACCACAAGTCAGTGGTACAAATATAACAATCACTTTTAGCTGTTGAAATAAATAGTTGTCTAAAGTATGAAATGAAAATGAACCGAGAATGCACAGATCTAAAAAAAAAAACGACACAAAGACACATAAAGAGAGAAACTTATTTGTTTTAAAAAAGCAGAAGAAAACAAGCAGTTTGTTGAAGAAGCTAAGAAAGAGAAAAGCATCGATTTCATAATCATTACAGAAATGACAGTATTGAACAAAAAATTAAATCAAGTAGAAAAAGATCAATAAAAAAAAAACATGAATAGAAACAAATCATAGAAAATCTAAACCAGAAAAAGTATAGCAAAGTGATGCATCACAATACATGTTAGTACTTATGTTTAATATCTATGGCCACAGCTCCTTCAGTTTAACCTACTGCGAGCTGTCTGTGTGGCGCCTGTTGAGGCTAAGAAATCATTTAAATGCTAGGACTGCTTCACTCTGGTTGCTTGATTGTCTCTAGCAACAGTATCATGAGGCAGAGGTGATTTCTGCTCCCCAAATAACAATGAAACACTATACCTCTGTGGAAAAGCCCTGATCCATAATTTACTATCACAATTACATAATGGCTTTATAATAGAACTCACACATTTCACTCAACAATCACGTTTGAAGTATTTGTACTGTAACTGGCAATCTTTGTATGACATTAGGCGAGGGTAAAGTAGCAAAAGACATGATTTACTTAAACGGTGAGAACGAAACGAGGCCATGCCTCATTATGCTAAGGTGGTTGTTATTGATGTGCGTCTGACGTTGTTTGTAATGTTCCTGCCTTTTCACCTTTAATTTTCCTTTGAAATGTTCCAGTTCTGCTCAAAGAGATAAGAAATGAAGCATTCCACCATCTTTATCATGGATGCCACATATTACTTTTATAGTGGTCATTTTACTCAGTTAATAATTTGTAATAAGCTGCACAATGACATATCCCTTAATATTTAATTGGATAAATTGAATATTTGTAATGTAAAAGAGGTTGCACGACTGATGAAAAGTTACCCTCGGTGCGTTTTAGCATCTCCCAGAACATTTCTTTAACTCAAAATGTACTGATTTGGTTCTGTCTAGCTCTCACCAATGTAGCTCAGCATCACATACAACTGATTTCAGTGAAATAACATCAGATTAACCTACTACATATACAGCACCAGACAGGAGACAGCTAGTAAAGATTAGCTGGTCAAAGTCAACTTTAATGTCAATCTTTCAGTTTGTGTGTACAGACGTGAAATGACGTTTCCAACAACAAACATTAGCTAATGAACATTAGCTGGTAAACATTAACTAGTTAACATTAGTAATAAGACTACCCTTATAAAGGATTCATAAAGGGTTTATAATTAGGTTAGGTTATGAATTAGGTTGTAAACACTTTATTAATCATTAAGAACCATTTATAAGCCAGTTCTAACATAGTTTTCATACATCAACACAGGCTCACTATTTGGCAAGATGACTAAGCCTTATATTGGCTACTTAGTGAGAATGAACTCAGGGAACAACAGATACCAAGGATGCTGGCTGATGAAGAAGACAAAGTAAGCTAGGAAGCCAATATAAGGCTTAGCAGTGCAGATGAATGTGGGCTCACTATTTGGCAAGCAACCGGTCACAGTTGCCCTGTTTATCTCATGTCTTATAAAAGCTTATTAAGGATTTATAAAGTGTTCACAACCGAATTAATAAATGAATTACAAACTATTCGTAGGCTAAACCCTTAATAAGGGTAGTCTTATTGTAAAGTGGTACCGACATTAGCGAGTGAGTATTAGCTAGTAAACAGAAATTGAACATTCGCTAGCAGAGCATTTAGCATTTAAGAAACAACTATTTTCTTGAATCCGCCACTGCAGCTTGAATGGAGGCATCTCACTTGGGTTTTGTTACTTTACTACACCCATTTTCATCATAGTTATCATTAGGAAGATTGCTTTCAACCTTGGGAGTTCATATTTTCTTCCAAAACTTGAACAAGTCACTACGTTACTGAGGTGTCAGGGCCTCCCATAATTTAACCTTAGGTTAGAGCTCAGAATGAACACACAACACCGACACAAACCAATCCTCCGCCATTACACTTTCACCTTTAATCAGCTTTGTTGCCCACCACTTTCTTCAGCTGGTATAAAAAATTACTAAAACAGAAAAATTAGAAAAAGACAATAGACTCCAAACTATTGAATATAATACCCCAATGAGTCAACCCAGTCTCACGGCATTTGGTGTAATAGTCACGAAATTAATTGAATTTATTGATTCGTGTTCACCAACACGATCTTCCCATTTTTATTGTGTCACACAGAACGATTTTAAAAGCAATGTATTTCTATTGGTAGTNTGTGTGTGTGTGTGTGTGTGTGTGTGTGTGTGAGAGAGAGAGAGAGAGAGAGAGAGTGTGTGTGTGTGTGTGTGTGTGTGTGTGTGTGTGTGTGTGTGTGTGTGTGTGTGTGTGTGTGTGTGTGTGTGTGTGTGTGTGTGTGAGAGACTGCATTGCTTACCTTTGTGGCTTCTGTACTAGAGTTATAATTAAATAATGGACACATGTTCACTTTAATCTCCAATGCAGCAAGGACTCCATGCTGTATCTTACTGTTGAATTACAGCACGAGATTTAGCATTTTAACAGGTTAAAATAAAATGAACTCACCATTAACAGCTGCCTCAAGTTTTGTTTATATTCTCAACACTTATTTCATGTGGGTAATCTTACCAAGCGTGCCAAAAACATGTTGATTGACGATCGGGATGCAGCCAAGGGTTTATTAACTCGAGCCAACTTGAGTTGATGCATTAAGTTGCATTTGGTTCTTCTTCTGTGGCCTTCCTGGAGTCAGGGCTGATGGAGGGTGTGCATGCTGAGGTCAGGTGCTTCTGAGAGGGTGGAAAGAATTCCCGGGCACATCTTGGAAATGTTTTAACCATCCTCTTCCTCTCATTACTCACCGCCATCTCAAAATATCAAGTGTGGATTTGAAAGATGAACTGAAGAGGAATGGTGTCTTAAAGGGAAATGAATGTTTGTTTGTTTTCTTTACATGATGACAAAACTAACTCTATGTCTTGATATGTTTTTAGAATGGGGCCTCAAAATCTATCAACCAGTGTGAAGATGAAAGATATTATTTAAAAGGCTCTTCCAGATGCTGCAAGAAGTGTCAACCAGGTAATGACACACACACACACACACACACACACGCATGGGTCAGCGCTTTGAGCACCAGGAAAAGCACTATATAAATGTCATATATTATTATTATTATTATAGAAGTGAGGAAG